TGTCCAGACAACTGGAATGGTCACTTTTGGTGTCTGGATATGAATGCCTTCATTGGTGGTGATTAGGCCAGCAAGTTCCTTAGATAAGAATGGTAGAAATGAAATCTGACCTACTCAGGGGTCATTTCGTAGAAAAAGAGCTAGGGGGACTCATTAGCATATGCCACACACCCTGACATCACCGGAAGTGTGTCCTCCCCACAGCCGGCGGCGACCTCCAGCGGGCACCAGCAGGGAGCTCCAGGCCCCGCCCTCCCGCACCTCACCCGGGGGGATGGTGTCCCCCCGCGTCCCCCCCCCAAATGACCCCTGGACCTACTACTGATAAATGGGATTGTCTGCTTTGCAGCTGTTTTTGAGATGACAGACATTGTAGGAAAAACCTTGCATCTCAAGGTGTCACAACTGGCCAGTTTTGCATATCATATATCAACGGTTTGAACTTTTTATACAGGTCTTGTAAAGTAATGGAAAAATGCAGTTTTGGAGTCTTGGGGCTCAAGGGATCCGTATGCTTCTACATATACAACATAGTTTTTGGGTTTCTGCTGCTGCTTTGTGTGCAGCAGAGATGGCTTGCAATGGTCCTCTAAATTCCTGGAATCATTTTTTGGGAGACAAGAGGAACTGAATTTTACATCTTGGCTGCCTTAAAGAACAAGCCAGTGGTTCTTTGAATCCTGAATATACGCTGTCATTGGTTACGAAATTTTTCAGAGGGCCATATATTACTACTAAAAGCATTTTATTTATTTATTTATTGTATTTCTACCCTGCCCTCCCCGCGAACAGGCTCAGGGCGGCTTACAAAGGGCACCATGTGCCTACAAGACAGTCAGTTTAACAAAATAAAGTGCTCACTAGTTTCAATCTCTCAATATAACAAGATGGTATCTCAAAAATGTTATAAAGCAACGATACTCCTTCACTAAGGAGGATAATGTCCCGTAGATGTTACTCGTCCCCATCCAGCATCTGTCACAGTTTGGTGTTCATAGGGCCATCCTCTTACCCCATTGGTACCAATATCATTAATGGTGGTAGTAGTGGCAGCTCCTACTCAAAAGCCTGGTGGAAGAGCTCCATCTTGCAGTCCCTGCAGAACTGCGAGAACAGGTCTCTGACTTGTGCTATCTAGGACTTGTGTACATAGTTGAGGATGTGCTTACAACCATTTGAAAACTTATATAACCACTTAGTAACTTAATTTGCTTCTGATTATTACATCTTTGAGAATAGTTTGTATTAAGTGCTGTCAAATTGCTTCCAGTTTACAGTAACCCCATGAATTAATGACCTCCAAAATGTTCCATCATTCATAGCCTAGCTCAGGTCTTGCAAACTGAAGGCCACAGGTTCCTTTATGGAGTCACTAGGAAAAAGGCCCGTTGTGGAAATAAATACAACGGCCTCTAGAAAGAGGCTCTGGGTGCGTGTCCCGGCCTTGGACACTCAGTGTCAATTTGCTGTGGTGACCTCAGCAGGGTATAATGACACTGAGTCCACCATATTATCCAGAGGAACTGATCTCTGCCACCTAAAGAACAGTTGTAATTTTGAGTGATCTCCAGCCCTCACCTGGAGATTGGCAATGATGGTTCCCCAGAAGAGAATAGTTGGTTTGGAGGGAGGAGTCTATGGCTTTGTACCTGTCAGAGGTCCCACGCCTCCTGAAAACTCACCCTCTCCAGGCTCCATCCCTCACATCTCCAGGAATTTCCCACCTGCAGTTGGCAACCCTATCTCCTTCCCAGCCAATCATCAACTTACCTTTATTTCCCCCTCACTCTTCAGCTTTCCACCCCCCACACACCTACAGCCTCTCCCGTGCTCTGAAGCCCTGACTGCTACATCACATTGGCTGTCATACAGGGGCCACCTCAGCAGCATATAAGGATACAGAGGCCACCATTTTCTCCAGGGGAACTGATCTCTGCCATCTGGAAGCAGTTGTAATTCTGAGAGATCTCCAGCCCTCACCTGGAGATTGGACAAATTTTACCTCAGAACAGAAAACTGTTTAGAATGTTAGAGGCAAAAGCCAATCAAGTTGCATATGCAAACGACCTCTGTGTTCCGAGGCAAAGGCCAATGAGGCTGCATATGCAAATAACTTCTGTGTTCTGACTGGCTATGGGGGGGTGGGGAGGAACAGCAAAATGTTTAGAAAGTTGGAGGCAGGACTCAGGCAAAGCAGCCAGTGGATAGGGAGACCCTCTGAATGACAGATCAGAGAGCGAATTGATTTTGGAGCGCGTGGAATGTTCTAGAAAAGTGCCACCACCATTCGGTTTTTATTTATAAGGGAGATTCCAGCTCCTATTGGGAAAAGAAGCTCTTTTCCTGCTGCCTTCAACTTTTCCTTGCATTGGTGTCTTTTCAAGTGAGTCTTGTCTTTCCATCATGTGACGGAAGTTTGATAGTCTCTGTTTAGTCATTTTAGAGTTCAGGCTTGAATAGTTCAGGTTCATCTAAAGAACTAATTGTGAAAATTGATGTGAAATTTGATTGGTTTGTTGTACTTTCAGCAGAAACCACCTGGCACATCTGTACAAGTTTCTGTGCTGTGTAATTACTACAGTAGTAAAAAGTTATCGGACTGCAAGAAAATTTAAAGGATCCTTGGAAGGCCACATATTCAACTCCAGGATTTCAGAATATGATGATACATTCTGGTAATGTGGGAGCTTGTGGGCTCTCCGAAGAATTTGCTTCAGTCTAATAATAGAGCTGCTGTTACAAGTGAGTAAAACTTGATGGACAACTGTCAAGACAGCAAGGCTTTCTCATGAGTCGACAGGAGTCTTGAGCACATATAAACCAACAGTTAGGGTTTAAAATCAGATATTTATTTAAAACAAAACTCAGAAGGAATAACACAAAATTCAGCAACAAAACACTTCAGGGAGTACAAAGGAAAATAAATAACACTAACTTAAAGTACCTGATTTTATAGACGTAGTTCTCAGGAGGCACAGCAATCAATCAGGATGAGGAACATGGCATTGTGTCAAAGTCTGCAAATGTGACAACCATGCAGGAACTCCCAGAATCCCCCTAGGCTAACTTTCCCCCAGCTGAGGTGCCAAGATATACTTTTCCCCTTAACACACCAGCTGCCTCATTTTACAATCAGACCGGCTCTTGCAATAGAGTTAATTGGTAACTCTGCCTGTCCTTGAGATCAACACACTAATGGCAACAAACTGAAACAACTGCACCTAGAAAAGGCTAACAAGTTGTCATGCTAATTAACCCTTCATGGGCGCTTTTGCTTCACAACAACTGTCATGACCCATCTCTATTATTCTACAATCTAGTTGTTTTGTACTCTCCTGAATGGTGCTTACGTGCATATCAGTTTCTTTATACTATCCCTACCAGTCTTTATGGAAAATGACTCTGCCATGAGTTACTTGCAAATGTTAACATACTATAAAAGGTGAAGGAGAGCCATTCTAAAGCTGAAAATTCATGGTAGCCCATGTAGCTTGGACATTCAATTTATAAATGCAAAATCTCACTTCATTCAGGAGCCTAAGCATGCTATTGCTATATTCTTAGTGACATGGTGGCTTTGTTCAGTTTTACAAATTCATAAATTCAAATACGTTCAGGTATTTTTATGTGCTTTCCCTAGATATGTTAAGAGCTTTACGTGCATGGAAGGACTTAAACAAAAGGTTCAAGCTTATTCCAATGTGCAAATGCATTCTGTTTACAAATTTAACAAGAAGAATGCCTACTACTAGAGAGAGTCTTTATTGCCGCCTAGTAATAAGAGTACAGGGCTTCTGACAAAGTGGGTTCTACCCCCTGAAAGTTTAAGCCATAATAAACTGAACTAAACATGCCGGCAGCCAGGGTTTATCCATTAGAAAAAGTCCACGCAAGATAAGCATCCTTTTAATCTTTATCAGGACCAAATAAAAATAACGAAACAATCCCTACTGCTAGTTCTTGCATCTCACCACATTTGGGTGTGTGTGTGTGTGTGTTAATTTTTTTAAAGTAAAAGTCTTGCTTGTAGGAGACATTGCATGTAGGAGATACTGCAATCTCTAGCACTGCTTAACACAAAGCCACATTCTTTCTTCTCCCCCCCCACCCTTTTCTTGCTCCTGCTATTTGTCCTGCAACGAATCCCAGTGTGTGCTGTAGCCAGATTCAAATAACTGCTAGCTTTTGAAACTCCAAAAGGGAAGTGGTCATTTTCTGATGATAATTTGAAGCCGAGATTGCAGTGGCAAACACTTAATTAGAGAAGAACTTTCTGGATAATCATTTAAAAAAGGGGAGAGAGATAATAAGAGTCTTTAAGATGCCACAAGGCTCCTGTTTATTATTTTACCACAGCCAGAAGAGGTGTTTTAGAATTTGGCCAACCTAGGGCCGGAGTCCGACATTAGGAGCATTGACTCTGCCAAGTTTATTTCCCGAAAATCTTGTTTGTCTCTAAGGGGCTACTGGACTCAAATCTAGCTGTCCGACTTTAGGTGTTGACCAGAACATACCCCAGAGTAACACACCTCGAGTGCTCCTCATTCCATACACCCTCCCAACAGCCCATTTGCTTGCTTGCTGTCTTGGTAGTCGTTTTCTAACCAGACCCCTAGCGCCTGCGTAGATTATGAGAGGTGCGAGCTTGGAAGACCCTCGGCAGAACTTTGATAACTACATTTCCCAGCTTCCCCGTCTTGGCTTCCTTCTCCAAAGCTAGGGTTTTTTGTTTTTTTTTGCGGGGGGGTTGGGGGGGGAGAGCCTGGCCTGGCTATTGATACCTCGGCTGTAGGGCTGGGAGCATGTGGATGAGGCGAGGGGGGCGGAGCTTGTGGTCTCTGAGCCACAGCCAAGCGCCCAGTGCAGTAAACGCTCTGGAAGCGGAGAGGGGAGGCAGTCGAAGACAATGCAGCACTGAGGCGGCGGCGGCGGCAATCATGATGCGTGACTGCCGCTAGGAGAGGCAGGAGCCTTCCTCGCCACCATGCAAGCCTGCCTGTGAGCCTTGCCGCTCGCGGGCTGGGGGGAGAGGAGAGGAGAGGAGCGGAGCCCCGCCAGAGCCAGCCATGCATCCCGGGGCTTCTCTGCTCTCCTTGGTGCTGTGTGCCTTTGGGACGTTCTCCGGAGCTCGCTCGAGGCATGCAGGTAAGACCTCCTCACCTTGCCTCGGGATTGCAGCATGCGGCGCGGATGACAGAGGGGAAAAGGGATCCATGATGCGTGTGGGGTGACCCTCGCTTAGCGTTCCCAAACGCGTTCAGGGGAACCAACAAGAGCGAGTTGCATTTCGTGCGCGTGCGGGTTCTTCTTCTTCTTTTTTTAAAAATAGGAAACGTAACAAGATGCCTTGTGCTTCGCAAAGCATGAGATGACACCCCCAACCTTCCCCCACCCCGGTTAAGATGGAGCTCTCTCCTCAAGAGCCCCCCGGCCCTCCGGCTTCCCATTCCCCTATCCCTGCAGTGGGGAATGCATGCCTCCCTCCCCTCCGCTCCTGCTGGCGCGCCGGGGCTTTTTTGGTAAATAAAACGTCGCCCGCCCGCCCGCCCGAATGGCTGGCTGGTGCCTCTGCCCTTCTCTCCGAGGAGACGCCTTGTTGACGGAGATGGAGCGGAGGGATGAGGATCGCTTCGTGGAGCGGCAAAATATCGTCCCTTTCCGGCTGATCTATAGCGCGGGCGAAGGCAACGGAACTCAGCACGAGCCGCTCAACACCCGCATCGGGAGCCGTTCGGCTGGGAAGCAGGTGAGCTAAGCGGGCAGCTCTCGGGCGGGCTCCTGGTGGCAGCAGGTGAGAGAGGCGAGCCCGCTCTGCTTCAGGGTTTGCTGTTGCCCCGGAGACGCGCGCTTGGAGGCGGAGGCGGAGGCGCCTTCCCCAACGCTAGCTCCGGTCTGATGCGCCATGCATAGAAATTGCCGCTGAAGTGAAGGGGAGGGAAGTGCCCGGGCGATACCCAGCAGAGAGCTGTCGCGGCCGCCACCGGTCTGATGGTGCTCTGCTCCTGAGAGCTTGCAGGGTGGGGTTTTTTTTGTCCGTCAGGTGACGCTCGATAAAAACGTAAGCACCAGCGTAGGAAGCCCCCCCCCCACAGGCTGGGTCTTGGCACCACACGACCCTCAAAGCAATTGTAACAAGCAACATACCAGAAGCTGTTTCTGGATCTAAAAAGCTTGTTAGTAAAGATGCCCCTTAACTAACTTAACTGGCAAAGGGGCCTCTGAAGGTGGTTAATCTTCAAGGGAGATCCATGCATCCTGAATGCTAAAGGATATTTAAACTATGGGGTGTTTTCTCACTTCTAAAACTTTTTGGGGAGTAGTTACTTGAAAAATCTTCTGGAATCTCCCCATCGATATCAAAAGTTAAAAAAAAGAGAGAGATCAAGATTATGTTGCTAACTATTAAACTAGTTTTATTTAGCTGTGGTAGACTAATCAGGCTAGTGATATAATAATAGTAACATAATACGCATGTTACTGCTTTTTCAATATCTTACAAATTTTAAAAGTATTTTAGGCCAGTGACTGTTGACACTGAGAGTCATTGTAAAGAACTTCCAAAATTTAAATGTTCAATAGAAAAATATTAATATCAGTACACTAGTCCAGCTTCTTTAAGTGTTTTGTGTAATCTGTATTTACAGCAGGGGCAGACTGGGCCATCCCTCTGTCCCACCCAGTTCCTATTGCCCCAGAGGTAGGAGGGAGAGAGAAGGAATCAGTCCAGACTGCACTGTATGTAGTCTGTCTGGGTACCTCCTCGTTTGTGGGAGGTCAGGCCGGTCCTTCTCTGGGCTACACAGAACAGGAAGCTGTATATGGGTGCCATGCATGGGGAGTGGGAGTTAGGCTGGGTGCATTCTCCCCTGAGCCACAAGGGGACCACTGGATTGTGGCAGCAGCAGATTGCACTAGCCCCTGGCTTGAGGTCGGGGTGGTCCTCAGCAGTGGACAGTTCCCTCGCAACACATAAAGTAAAAATAATACAATAAAATCATTAAAAATTAGCATACAAATGATCAGCATGAAACAAGTTGGGAGCATAAAAACAGCACTCTGCAGCCTAAAATGATATCCATAAAACAGTCCCCCAGGCTAAAAGTTATTTCAGGCAGCATACTTTCTGAAATAAACCTTAGAAAATAAAAAAGAGCTGTGATATTAATTCTTTAGATTATTAATAGTTCTGTATTCTGCAGCTGTGAGAAGTATTACTAATGCAACATGTGAACAGCATGTACAGATAGTGCTTCCTATGGAAATGCTCTCTGTAGCCAGTTCTGCTGCCAAAAAGGCAGGCTGGTCTGTATGCAGAAGGTTCCAGGTTCAGTCTTTGGTATCTCCAGTAGCAGGTATTGGGAAAAACTGTGTGGGACACAGAAAGCAACTGCCAGTCTGAGTAGGCAATACTGAACTAAATGGACCATTAAAAGTTAGCTTCCAATATGTGTTGTTATTATTTTGCATAGCAACCCTATGGGGTTTTCAAAGCAAGAGATATCCAGATGTGCTTTGTCATTGCCTGACTCTGCATTGCAACCCTGGACTTCCTTGGTGGTCTCCCGTACAAGTACTAATGAGAGCTAACTCCATTTAGCTTCCAGTATCTGATGGTAACAGGCTAGCCTGGGCTATCCAGGTCAGTGCGGTATTTGTTGTAGTGATACTTAAATCATTATGAGCACACATCCACACGGGGTACATTCTATCTGCATGCTTCACTGAATGTTGTCCTTGCTTAATGGAGTTCTTAAATTCATATGGCTCCTTTCATAATTTTGCAAGATTAGAACCAGGGATCATTTCCTGCAGGAGCACACAAGAGTGGAGCTCCGGCAGTAAAGAGCCCAGGGGGCGGGCACATGCAACAAGCCCCACCCCCTGCTCCCAGCAGCCCTCAGTCAGAGCAAGAAACAGCCAGATAAGTTGCAGAGCTCCCCCCGGCCCCCCAGTCCAAAACAGTCCAGTGGCACCTTTAAGACCAAGTTTTATTCAGGTACAAGCTCTCCCTCCTCTGCGAGGGCAGATCTGCACGTCCCGTCCCCCCGATAGCTAGCAATCCAAAACAGTCCAGTGGAGCCTGAGTGGTGGGGGTTGCCTTCTGACACACTTCTGGTGATGTCAGGGTGTGTGGCATATGCAAATAAGGTATGATAATGAGTTATGCTAATGAGCTCCTGCACCTCTTTTTCTACGAAATGACCCCTGATTAGAACCATATTTCTGTAAAGTAGCCCAAATATCCCAGTTTGGCCTGAGCTCATCAGGGCTTGGGAGAAGTAGGATCAGCCACATTCAGTACTTGGGTGGGAGATCACCCAGGAAGACAGGGGTTGCTGATGCAAACCAAGATTGAGAATATACTCCTGGGTTTGTATCAGTAGTATACCCCAGAGTATATACCATGGTCATGGTCAGGTTGTGACTTGATGGCATATTGTTCTTTGTTGCTGTGATGTTTCTTTCAAGGTGACTGATGGAAACCATGATCAATAGTATACTCCTAAAAAGGATCAATATATGCTTTCTTATTTGGTTTGGTCCATTTCGTATGGTTTGACCTCATCTCTCAAGGCATGGGGAATTGTTTGTGCCTTCTGTAGTATGGTGAATTAGCGTAACATAATTTGCACACCAGTGCTCATGATTTTCCGTATCCCTGGAGGCATTTGCCATGTTTCACTTATGATGTGGTACAGCAGGATGTCAACTTCTGCCACTAATGTGAAGAATGTGCCTTTATCAAAGGTAATGAGCACATCTCTGTTTTCAAGGTCATCCAAGATCCTCAAGCTTTTGAAGCGCTAATATGTTGGTGTAACAGAAGCAAGTCAGTTGTCTTAAACGTGCTAATGAACTGGAACCCTAGAGTCATCCTCTCCTTCTAAACTGTATTTGCCTTTGAAAAAAGTGGTTGTATTATTTATCAAGTTATATGTGGCTGAAAGTATTTCATTATACTTTGCAAAGTCATGCATTTATGTAATATCCCCACATTGATGTTAGAGAAGACACGTGTATTTTCTTAACTCAGAGGTGTATCTGATACAAAGTTTTGGAAAGTTGAGGAAAATCACTGTTAGTGTAGCTGCTGTTTAGAAACAAAAGTCTTTGCATCTGAAATTAAGCCTACCAAATTTACCTGAAAGCAAGACAACCCTGAACATAAGATGATCCCTCTGAAAAAATGTTGCACACAAAAGGTTTTGCATTACTGTACATAACTTGTATCTGAGTGTAAGAAAAATGCCTCTTTTTCTTGACAGCATACCTCGGGGGTGGGGGGAACTACTCTTCCTTTTGGAGAAATATAGTATTTCTTTTGTTGAAAATAGGGAAATATGAATATGAACACTGTGGTTGTGAATTTTTTCATGTACATGTCAGTCTTCTCGTTTTATCCGTTTTCGTTAGAATGTTCCTGATTCTTTTTTCAGTTTTCTTGCATCACTTTTATTCCTTTCTATGTTATACACCATTTACAAACCAAAATAATGGTGAATCATATAATTGAAAGCTGTGTTAGTTTTAATGGGAAAAATTCAAAATAGAAAATGGTATGAATTTTCTATTTTTGAATTTTCTGATTCTATTTATAGAATTCAAAAGCTTGAAAAGGTGGGTCAGCAAAGATCGATAGTGTTCCTAGTCTGCAAAGTTTGGTAACATTCCTTTTTTCACTAATACCTAGTGGAGTAATAGATTAGGTAATTGGTAAAATCCCTAATGGAAGGGATTGGTAATAGTATCAAATACTCTAACTTAATTGTTCTTAGATTGATGTTCTTTTTAAATTTGGGGTATATTTGTACTAGATTTTACACTGCATCTGCATGAATGGCTGTGTAGTTAAGGCATGGTATTGTTCTTGCCATTCAAATTCCTGAAAATTTTAGTCATCTCAAAATCAAGAACAATTGTTCTATCAGTCTGAAATGTCATGTAAAGAATCTAACCCAGAGAATGGAACAATCTGGTTAAATTTCAGAAAAATCTGATTAAAAAATTCTGAGTTACAGATGTTTTAAAAATGGTGCTCATTTTGAAGTTTGTAATTGTTTTTCTGCAAACCAAAAACATATATTTAACTTCTCTTATTTATTTCTGTGGTACATTCTGTGAAATATTACAATGGTCTGTTAATAAAGTTTCAAAGTATTTGAAGGACTGCTGCCACCCCTATTGTCCAGCTTGTCAGTTAAGATCCTCTTCACTGTGCCCCTGTTTTCAGAGGTGAGGTGAGTAGCAACCAGAGACAGGACTTTTTTGGAGGTGGTGTTTCACCTTTGGGATGCCTTCCCCCATGAGGCTCACCTGGCGCCTACCTTTCTTACTTTTAGAGGAGCCAGGCTAAACAATCCTTTTTAACTAGGCTTTTAATTAAGGAGTCTTATCTTTTAAACGTTAATAGCCTGCTTCTTGGCAAAGGATCATTTTAGCTACATCATTTTAGGTTGCTCAGTGTCAATTTCATGCTGTTGTTAAGCTCCACTTATGACATCTCCTTGATCTTTAGTGGATTATTTGGTGGCTTTGTTTTTAATTGGGTGTACTTAATGGCTTTACTACCTTAGTTGTAAGCCGCCTCGAGCTGATCTCTGGAGAGGTGGTATATACATTTGGCTCCTTACAATACAATAATACATTTCCCATTTCAGACATTCAGTGATGTAAGTCTGAGTTATGAGGACATTGGTAGCTGGATACAGTAAAGCCTTTTCCATGGAATGTGGCTCTTGTATTTAA